ACTTGGCAGAACAAAGATTATAAATAAAATTACAATACATACGTATATAAATACATTTAATATTATATATGAAGGAACAAATATATAATATGTAGAAAATACAATATTTTCCATCTAGGAATTACTCAGTATCCTAAGAAAAATATACCATTTCTACCTAACTCTGTCATCACAATTAGCACAAATTCACAAAAATGTAGAATGCAAAGTAACAAAAATTGATAATATAATGGGCTATATGGTATATATGTAAAGAATTTTTAATACCTTCACAATATAAAATAATTTGAGTCTTTTCTTTAAAAATATGTTCATAATTAAATAGTAAAATGTGATGTGTTATAAAATTATTAAAAAGATAAAAAAAAATGTATTATGCAGCATAAATTTACAAAAAAAAAACTTTCCCCAGTATGCAAACTAAACAATATTTTCACCTCAAGGCATACCCCTCAACACGGGCTGACCTTATCTGTAAAAATATTTTCCCTTCACATCATTGCATACCACACAAATAATATAATAATTGCAAATAAAACTTCTTATAAAAATTTATAATTTAAAAAAAAATATATATATTAAATATAAAGATTTCATAATTTGAAAAAAAAAATATTATACACCATCTAATGTATCATATAAATTCCTATCCAATTTATATATACACTAAATGCAGACACTAAATCAAAATAACTATCCACATCTAACATTATAGATATTATTCTGACTTCATCATACTTCAATTCCTTCAAATTCTCATTCATAATTAAATATATCATATGTTACCTATACAATATATTAACATTATAAATAATAATTCATAGTTAAATATATCATATGTTACCTATGCAATATATTAACATTAATTAATAATAAATTATCCCATACATATTCATCCCTTTACAAACCCAAAATGCATAATTAAATAATACACACTTTATTACAAAAGTCTATATCCATATATATTTTCATAAATTTCACATATTTAAATATTTAACAATCCTTTCTGTCCTGCTGTTCATGAGGTCTTTCAGCTTCCTATGACGGAATACCTATAACACCATTCAATGAGTTTTAAGGCATACCAAATAATGATCAAAATTAGATGTACCATATACATCTAGACATAAGATAATATACCAAATATTACTGTCTTAAATTCCTGATCTTATTTCCATATTTCTGCCTAATACTCATTACCTACTTTCAATCTTACATTTTTTAAAATTTAAATATAAAAGTATAGAAATTTTTAAACTCACGTATCTGTATAGTTTTTAGTACATTGCATGGTTAAAATTTTTCATATAATATTTATACAAAAATTTTGTTTTTACCTTTAAAATACCGCATTAACCCAGGTTAGAATCCTGGTCACGGCACCAATTTCAAAAACCTCTATATCAAACCATATCCCATAACACAAAACAAACCATAATTTCATAATAATAAGACTCAAATTTATTTATTAAAAACATCAACAACAATCTCTATACATTAACACAAAAAAATATACCAAAATTTAATATAATTATTATCCATTTCTTCATCTCCCAAAGGTTCACAGCTGACATCTTATTCAATATTTTCCCATCTCCCACTAGGGGTTTTTCCTAACAATGAAATACACCCCGTGATCATCATCTCCTCTTCTTCCCCCAAGGAAAACTTAATACCCTGTCAGAAAATAACTGACATCTTATGTATTATATTAAATTTATTTCTTCTTTTTTTCAACAATTACAACAATATACTATATTTTATATTACATTTAAAAAAAATAAAACTAATATTTAATTTATAAAAATGGGAAATATTTTGAGAATATAATATATTGTATTTAATTTACTATTTAATTTATAAAATAAAAATAAATCTATTTAAAAAAAATGCATGTATAATAAATAGTATTTTGAAAATATAATCTAATTGCACAATATTAGTATAATTTATTTTATAATATAAATTTTTAACAAAAGAAGATAATTGTATTATATAATATTGTAAAAAAAAATAATGAAAAATGTTGGATTAAAAACTTTTATGACTCAAGGTAAATATAATAAATGCAATAAATATTTGACAGTTTACAAAGTAAAAAACCAGCATGATTGACGAAACCTATACTCAAGAAAGATATTAAAAATTCACAAATTATCATGAAGAAAGAGAAGCATATCTACCTTTTCAGGTTAAAGATTACTTCTTCTTTCTTCAAGAATTCTCCCAGTAGTGGAAAAATTCCGCTCACAGCTTGCACTTAAAGCAGGAATTGCCAATTTTGCTAAAATTGGAAATTCGCTTTGATGAGCCGCCCACCACTCCAACAAATTGTCCACCTTAAATGTTTTATCATCGCCCCATTTGTCATAAAACGATTCAGTTTGTTTAACAACAGTCGTAATTTGACTGGTCGATGGTATTTCATTTACTTCCTGAGCCTCTTGTAATTTAATATAATCTTTTATATAGTTTTCCGTCATTTTGCGATCTGTCCTTGACTACATACGTAATTGCTTGAATTTGGGACAGAGAAAAAGAGAAATAAAATGATACTTGTGTAAAACAAATTTTTCAATTAAAAAATGCTTTATATTAAGTAAAATCAATTTTATTTCTCCTTTTTCGCTTTGAAAGGTATTACAAACTTTAAGAAGTGATATTCCTTTATTTGATTGTTTTGGTAAAATATATTCTAAAAATTTAGATATGAATTATAAAAAAATATATTAATAATACTTGAATATTGGGGCTTATTTATGATATTCCTTTATTTGATTGTTTTGGTAAAATATGTGTAAAAATTTAGATATGAATTATAAAAAAATATATTAATACTTTGAATAAATTTGCAGGAAATTAATAATTAGATCGATCTGTGGGTGTTAGGTAGTGTTAACCATCACCCAATATTATATTAATCATAACTATAATATAATATAATCTTATAACCATTAACTCATAATGTAAAAATTTTTATAAAAAATATTAAGGCCCGGCCCGGCCAGGGTATATTTTAAAAAAATTTTTTAGGCCCGGCCCGGATATGTTGAAAAAAATTTTTTTAGGCCTGGCCCGGGTGTATTTAAAAAATTTAAAATACGGCCCGGCCCTGCCCGGGCCTGCAGGTCTCTGATAAATAAAATCAACATTTACAAATTTATAATTATAAAATTAAAATATAATAAAATTAAAAACGGATATTTATTGATAGTTTTAATATTTAAAATTTACTAAAAAAGATATTTTATCTAAAAATTCTGTAATTTCAGAAGTTCTTTCATATATTTGTGTTAAATTAATGATGTGTTGATCAATTCTTTCATATTTTATATTTCTACGCCGAACTGTTGATACATTGTTGATCTGAATAATTTTGAGGTCGTTATAGTGTTGATGGTTTATCAAAATTTTTATAAGATAAACATTTGGGTGAGCATGTGCCGTCTTTCTCTTTAAGGCATGATGAAATCCCTCCAAATGGTTATTGGTGCGGGGACCTTCGACTTTATATCTAAATAAATATAAGAAAATTTTATGAATTTATTAATTATGTTTTAAATACCTTGTCTATATGCCATGGGGAAATATGGCATTATGGTTTAGCCATGTCGTATCCATACACTCCTTAAAATTCAGGAGCATGGAATTTTCATACGACATCGCATAGCAATTTTGCCTAACTCGAAATATGTCCTCCTCTTTGCAAAAAGGCAAAATTGTCATGTGCCTTACAACTTTGTGAACATTCGAATGGTTCAAAGATAGGCTCACCAACTCAAGAGATTGGCATCTGCGCCATAAAGCTTGGGAATATGGAAAAAGCAACCTAAACAAAATTCTATTGGAATATAAATCATAAATTTAACCTTTTATAATCATGCTGGGAAATACAAACTTGAGAGCTGATATAGCAGCTGCCTCAAAGTCTGTTTGGCCAAATCTAGGATTAAAAGATATTTGGCGTTCAGAACAAAAATTAACAATAATTTGAAAAAGACGGACATATGTGTCCCTAGTTTTATCTGGTAGTAGTGCATAAATGAAGGGTATCATAACCTCTTCGTACATAACATGTAAGGTATATAATTAATAAAATAACGTAGGAGCTACATGGAAAGTTCCATCCATGTTGATCATGTCCGAACTTGCGGCTATACGCAACATGGAATCAGTGGCAAAAATATATGTCTGTTCCATGGATTAAAAATCGTTCATTACGAGTTTTCGTAGAATATTCTGCAGTTAACTCAATTTCAGAAATCGATTGAGGCATAGGGGGCGGTATTTAATAAGAAGTCTGTCTATGTGATTTCTCAGGTATATAAATGATGGTGTGGCCTCAGGATAGTTTTCTGTTTCTGGGTTCTCCATACATCTTTTATCCATTGTTTGTTGATATATATTTAACCGAGTCTCCGAGGAATTGTAGGCTATTATGTTTTCGAGTGCTTCTTTAGTTTTAAGCATCTCGAAGGCCCCTATTTCAAATACATGATCATGTGTACCAGAGACTCTGTATGCACTCTCATATATACATTTAGCATGGCAATCTCCTACTCTGCATCGATATTTTATAATTTCCCCATTTTGGGAGTGAAATCTATACATATAATTTTGAAAGAATAGTATAATTTTCCCCTTTTGACTCTTGACAAAACGAGCTTCTAGTTAATTAAAAATAATATTAATACAATTTATTATAATTATTTTTACCATAAATATTTGAATTTAAGTCTAATAAAGTTTGTGCTATGTCAAGAGGGGAATCTAGATTTGTGTCAGGCACTATGGGAGAAACTTTGTTCCAAATGTGGAATACCATTGGATGAAACTAGATTATAAAGAAAATTGTCAAATTAAGAATTTTTAAAATTTTTATTTACTTGAGATATCAGGCACTATGGGAGAAACTTGTGGTTCGAAATGTGGAATACCATTGGATGAAACTAGATTATAAAGAAAATTGTCAAATTAAAAATTTTTATTTACTTGAGATATCAGGCACTATGGGTGAAACTTGTGGTTCCAAATGTGGAATACCATTGGATGAAACTAGATTGTAAAGAATATTGTCAAATTAAAAATTTTTATTTACTTGAGATATCAGGCACTATGGGAGAAACTTGTGGTTCCAAATGTGGAATACCATTGGATGAAACTAGATTATAAAGAAATTTGTCAAATTAAGAAAATTTAAAATTTTGATTTACTTGAGATATCAGGCAAAATCACAGAATCTTGTGATTGTGTTGATGGAAGACTAAGATGGGTGTTATCTTATTTAAAATAAAGATGCTTAAATATCTTAAATATTTATTTTATTACATTTACACTTAGCTGTGTGTTCTATCGTGAATATTATGTCCTTTAATGAGAGCTTAGCTCTACCAGAACAATTATCACGACAACTTAAGTGTATAAATTTTTTGTTGGCACTTTTTATGAGGTACTAATACCCTAAATAAATTATTAAATTATTTTCTTTTTGAGTTTTTTTAAAATTAAAAAAATATATAAAAATTTATAAAACAATATTACTTCAAATTTAATATTTTGAATCTTAAGGTAGCATTCCAAATTATTGGCAACAGTGGCTATCATCTATAAATATTTGAATTATTTTTAAAAATTTAGAATATATAAATCTATATTAAATCAGTGCTATTATAATTATTAGAGTAATACATATAAATTATATTGTTAACAATTGTAAAAATGGAATATCAAGATCACTCATAATGTCAAATATAGTATTGATAGTTTAAGCTTAATTGATTTTATATTATTAAGTTATTTTATAATCTTAATTAATTAAATATAATCATTTATTAATTGAAAATAAAATTAATCCAATTTAATGGTGTGATTTGTGTTGTCAAGTTCAATATCAATAATAAACTAAATCACTCTTTTTTAAATTTAAGCCTTTAAGAAAATTTCTAAAATTTAAATCAGTATCCAAAACTTCTTAGTGAAAACTCTAACTATATTTAATTAATACATCTTTATAAATTATATTATGATCATTAAGTTCAATATCAAAATTTAAGCCTCTAAGAAAATTTCTAAAATTTAAACCAGTATACAAAACTTCTTAGTCAAAGTCAGTATTCAAAACTTCTTAGTAAAAACTCTAACTATATTTAATTAATACATCTTTATAAATTATATTATGATCATTAAGTTCAATATCAAAATTTAAGCCTCTAAGAAAATTTCTAAAATTTAAACCAGTATACAAAACTTTTTAGTCAAAATCGAAACTATCCTTATAAACTATATTATAATCTGTTGGATTTGGACCGATGGGTCCCCCCGGCAGATTGGGAAAAATAGAGTCCGTGATCGGGGGTCCGGGATGGTCGATGACGGAATCCATGGGGCCGGGTTTTATCAATTTTGTCATGGAATCACTCGGACAACGTAGTGAAAATAATATTTACAAAGTTTATTAAAGTCGAAGTTACAAAGCCAAGGTAAAAAAAATCAAACTCATCCAATAATTAATCAAACAAAAAATGTATATAAATTTCACAATCCCGAATTTCATTTTTCGTGGTCTTTTTATAGATAAAATAAAATAATAAAAAAAAGAATGTTAATAATGCAGGCCAATCTCGAAAACTGGCTAGAACCAGTTTTGAGGATGAAATCAAAACAAGCTTGGTATACGTGAACAAAGGGGAAAAAGAGATATACATGATAATGAGAAAAAAAAACACATCACTTCTAATTGAATAAAGAAAATAAAAATATAAATGGTAATGGTAATATAAAAACATATCACTGGAACAAAGACATAATAACTATTATAAACTAGTTAAAACACAACATAATCATTAATAAAAATCCCTGTTAAATTTAAAACTAATATATTACTTGCACTTTTAATTTTTCCTCGCTTCAGATATGGCGGCCATTTTTTGATTATGTTATTTTGAAGACGTTTTAAAACATACTCAATTTATGCTATTTTGTGCAATGCTATTTAGTGGTCAACCGATAAAAATAATAATAATCGTTTCTTTTTTTTCGCGCTTATATATTTATTTTTTTACAAAATCATCCCGTTTATTTATTATTTTATTTATCAAAAGTCAATCAACTTTTTTTAATATTTATTTATTCAACTCCTTATTATTCGTATACTTTGCCATTATCTTCATTTAGTGCTAAGCTTAATAGCTTGCTCCCTTAAAACGCTCCCTTCAGAAAAGACGATCCTCCGCCTCCTCCTTTCAGAGGTTGCCCCACTCCGAATCCTCTACCACGACATACAACCAGCATCCAAACTCATCAACATCGTCCAAAACTGCCACTAGATCCCTCCATTCTTCGGTTCCCATCACTCCTTGATTAGTTCCTATACGCTCGGCCGCCGCGATACCCTCTCCCCTCGTTATACCGTTTCCCGCCGTCCTATCGTTTGTGCCCTCACTCTCGACTGTTAAATTAACTATGGGTCATTCCACGCTAGCTGTTCATGGACGATGTTCACGCTGTTCCTCTTCTTTATCTCTCCACTTTCTCAGAATTTCTGCGACGGGCCTTGATTCACCGCTTCCCTCTTCTTCATCTCTCCTCGTTCTCGGAATTTCTGCGACCGACCTCGATACACCGCTTCTTACTTGCTCCGTCCGAGCCCCCACAATCGCCGCTATCTGCCTCGCTGGTACCTCCTCCACTCTTGCTCGAGCCCGTTGCAATCCCGTTCGATTACCATCTGCCATTCTCTCCCAATTCCATGGGCATCTATATTGAATATGTCCGCGTTCCTGGCAGCGATAGCACCGTCTGCCGTTCTCCATAGTTCGTCTTATCATTCCCCGTCCGCTTCCCCGACCCTTGCTCCCGGTCCTATGGGGCCGCACCATGAGTAGCACTACATATATCCCACAGATCCAACTTCTACGCAAACCCGGAGCATTATTCTGATCCATTTTGATTATCCACCTAAATATATTCTATACTATATAATCCTTACAAAATACGTACTTTGTAACGAATTCCTCTTTTATAATTCAAGGTAATCACCAATTTTATTTAACTTACAAAAGAAAATTATAACTTTAAAAGAAAAAAAATTTCTTCACAAAAATAAATAATTTTTCTCTGTTCCTCTTTTTTTTCTTTTTTAGCCCACTGCTTTCTAAGCCTATGCTTTGCACCCCGAGTAATTAATTATCTTTTCATCAAATAATTTGGGACACCGCCCCTTCCCCGTCTCTAACATATCCAAATTTCCCTTCCAATAATATGATGCCAAACAACATATCGTTCCAACTCTTTTGACATTTAATTACAACAAAATAAAATTACACTTGTTCTCTTCGACAAAAAAAATTGGGACTATATGAATTATATTTGTTCCCTTCGACAAAATTTTGACTATCAAAAAAAAATTTACATTTGATAAAATTGGGCTATTAGAAAGAATTTACATTTGATAAGAATTGACTATTAGAAAGAATTTATATTGGATAAGATTTGACTATTAGAAGGAATTTACATTTGATAAAAATTGACTATTAGAAAGAATTTACATTTGTTTTCTTGGCCAATTCTATTAATTTCTCCCTCCTCCCCACCTAATTCTTATAGGCTCTTTTATTCTTCCAAAAATTGTTACGTCTCCCATTCTATATGCTCTTTTATTCTCTCAATTATTATTATTTTCCTTCTATATACGACTTTCTATCTTCCCACATGCTGACTCCTTTTTTCCCTCCAGACCTGACCTAAGTCTTTTGACTTGACCTAAGTCTTCCGGGGTCCATTCCTCTCTTTAACTGATCCCCATGCCTTATTCCTTCTCTCCCGCCTGGGAACTTTATCCTATGCAATTTGTGCCCCACGTTCTCTATGACCACACCGGATTCCCATTTTCGAGTACCACCAAAAATTCTAGCCCAAACCGTTTGCCCTACCACGAATTTACACGCGTTATTTCTCGAATCCATCTCTGGAGGTACCTCTTGTTTTAGCAAATCTAATTTATTGCGAGTTCTATGGCACAAAAATTTTTCCGCCGGTGACAACACCTCTCCTTTTTGACTATTATTATAATAGGCCATGGCGATCCATAGTTCCCCCCCCCGCCATATTTCGATTTTCTTAGCCAACTTTTAACCAGAGCTACCATTCTTTTCGCTTGTCCGTTTGAGCTTGGATGATAAGGAGGTGCTAAGACATGTTTTACCCTGGTTTCCGCGCAAAATTTTTCAAATTGTCTTCTCACAAAAGCGGGACCGCCGTCGGACACGATCGTCCTCGCTACCCCAAAACGAGCCCATAAATTCTTTAAGGTCTTTATTACAATTTGCGTAGTTAACCCCCTTACTGCCTCGTACTCTACCCATTTGGAATATGCATCTACCACAATTAAATATATTTTCCCCTCAAAGTCAAAGAAGAGTCGATGTGGATACGTTCCCACGGCTGTGTATTCTTGGGCCATACACCTTTCTTGTCTCTGTGAGGCATACTCGCCCACAGGTTACACATTTCACAGCTTCGGCTTATGTCCTCAATCTCTTTGTTCATTCCTGGCCACCATACATATTCTCGGCCCCATTGTTTCATTTTTTCAACTCCCTAATGCCCTGCATGAATAATTGCCAAGACCGAATCTCTCAATTTGAACGGTACTATACCCCGACTTCCCCTTACCCACAGACATCCACTATAGCTAATTCCTTTTCGATGTATGTAAAAACTTTATCTCCGTCGCTCCAAGGTTTTTGCCCCTTTATACACACCTTAACTCGAGTCAATTGACGATCCTTTAGAGTTGCCCTTTTAAGTTCTTCCCATGTTATCGGTCCTCCCTTGGCTATTTTGACCATCGCTCTAATTAGTCCTTGCTCCTTTCCCTCCTCTATATCCTCTTGAGCCATTTCATATCCCTCTTGTCCAGCTCCACACCTAGAAAGAACATCTGGTAAACAGTTTTCCCTTCCCCGTCGATATTTTAATTGTACATCAAAACTTCCCACCAGTAAGAGCCATCTTTGTAATCAGGGCGATAACATCAGCTCCTTATTATCCTTTTCGAACATGTGTACCAACGGCTTGTGTTCTGTATATATCACAAATCTACGCCCAATCAAATACTCACGGCATTTCGTCAGTCCAAATATAACAGCTAATGCCTCCTTTTCAATCACGGAATATCTCGTTTCCGCGGCTCTGAATATTCTCGAGAAAAACAAAACCGGTTTTCCCATTCCATCTATAATGCAATAACGCTCTACCTACTCCTTTAATCGATGCATCTACCGCCAACACCACCTTCAACTCGTTGTTAAAACACATAAGAATGGGCTCCCTTCCAATTCTAGCTTTTAATTCTTCAAACGCATTCTCCTGTTCCTCCTTCCAATCAAATTTCTCACCCTTCTTTAGCAGAGTATATAATGGCGCAGCTATTTGAGCGAATCCCTCTACAAATCGGTAATAGTAATTTACCATTCTCAAAAAAGCCTGAACCTCAATTTTATTTTTCGGCCTCAACATATTCGCAATTCCCGTCATATTTTTATCCAACGTTCTAACCTCTTTT